ATATGGCCCTTTTCACACTACACGGTTGTTAGTCGTGCGGGAGCCCTCCCCGAGTGCAGTTCGCAGCGTTTTTGCTATATAGTTTTTATTTAGTTTTTCAGTTTAATTGTTTGGTTATTGAGTTTAATTATCTGTGCGCACTTTATAGTATTATTCAGTTGTTGTAATTAGTTTCAGTTGTCTTAAAGTCACAGCCAGCATTTCAACTGGTTGAACGTAGTTCCTGAACGTCATATTATTTCTTTGAAGATCACTTTTCAACTTATTGTGCAATTCGTCGAACGATTCTTTCGACATACGAAAATAGTTAAAAAAACTTGGCTTCATCGTTCCTCAAATCTTCGAATAATGTATTAAACCCACCCACTTCCTCTCGACTTACATTTATGGGATGTACCCAGTGCAGGCGGCTGCGTTTATTTCTTTTCCTGTGTCTGTAAATAATTAGCGCAGCAATAATTTGCTCCCGATTCATACTCCACAAAACTTTCAACTGAAGTATCAATGAACTCTGTACTGGTGGAGTGGGGGGTTTTGATACGCGTACGATTACAAATCGTATAGTGTGAAAGCAACAGACCCACGACCGTCTGCCCGCACGATTAACACTCGTACGAGCGAAAACGTATAGTGTGAAAGGAGCTAGCGGCTCTCAGTCACCGAAAGATTATTTAGGCGTTTTGTATTTTGTTACTATCTAAGTTATTTATTTATCACATCGACGATATGTTCTTCACTACATTGCTTATGTAATGCTTATGTAGTTGCTTATGTACATTGGCTTACATGTCGTAGACATACCGTAAGTAATATATACTACCTAAAACGTATCCATATGTACCGGTAGTATTACAATCACTGTTATTATTTCAGTTATCATCATGTCCTGCTATCTCCTTTACTTACGCGTCAATAATGTTTAGTTTACAACCAGTAGTGAATTAACACAAGGATATCAGACACAACTGGGTAAACCCACGTTTAAAAAAAATTATAGTAGAACTTTTTTATTTAAATCCTTATTTATATTTTCCCTAAACGCAAATTAGCCTTCAAACAAGTATCCTATATTGAATTTTAATTGATGTTGCTACAGCATTTAGAGCGTCCAGCATGCCATCTTGACAATAGGATTGTAGGAGGTATCTAATTTCATGAAATTTTGATATGATACTTAGATTGTAATAACCTTTGATAATCCTAGTTCATATCGTCCTACAGTAAGTTTTATACGTTAAGTTAGAAAATCATGGCCTACAATCTCATACAATAATTATCACCTGATATTTTTTTTCATTAGTCATTTTTATATGTAAGCAGTATGTAAAACGAAACTAGGTCATTATGTAATACAACCTTTGTGTTAAATCGTATAGATAATGGTGTAACGTTAAATCGGGTCATAATATGACCGGTTTGAGCAAATCATATTATGATGTGCTAAAGTAATGTGTTACACAGTATTAATTTAACTTTAGGTAATTGGAATACAGTTTGACCTAGAACAAAACGTTGTATCTTTGTTTTTGTTATGTAATTATAAACATACTTGTATAATTAACGTTATACTTATTGTGTTTTATGAAATTAGTGATTTTTGCAAATTAGAGCTACGCCGTAATGTTATCGGATTCGCAAATTAAATCTTGTATAAACAGAATAAGGATTTGGTCGTTTTTATATATTGTGGGTTAACTATAGTAATTCTAAAACGCAGTTTTAATTAGAACTAAATTATTCCCCATGAATAGTCGTCGTGCTGTACCTATTGTATTGTCTATTCCACTGTCTTATGTTATTCATCCACGACATCACTAGTGGAATGTTAAATGAAATGTTTATCTTGTAGGTCAGGTACGAATACAGGCGTTTTGCATGACGTTGATAGATGTATTTAAAATTAGTTTGTTTGCTATAACCACTGAGCAAATGAAATGTTTTGATAATTCTTCTGGTTAAATGCTCACTGAGCTATAAAATAAACTACGTTGTTAGTGCTAATTTTTTGCTTTTTTAAAAAATTTGCTCAGTTGTTTGGTTAAAAGATGTTTAAATTGCGCCTATCAAAGTCGTACGATTTAGTAATTTTTGCATACAGTCGTAGTTTTAATCGTTGCTTTAACTCGTCATCAGTTTTAAAAGTTAGTTACTACGCTACCTTATTAAATACGTGACGTAAAACAGTTATTAATCTATATAAATCGCATTAACCTATAGACTATTTATTTAATCTACGATAATATATAGTACAGCCTCGTTGGCTGGAGTCTTGAAACTTGTCAATAAGGTGATTTTATAAATAAGGTTCGTGCAAAAGGATCCAGGATGGATTTTGAGTAGTACTAGTAGACTTTTTTATTCTATGAAACCTTTTACAGGTTTGATTCATGATGTTTTTTAGGGTAGATTCTAAATAGTTTCTTTGGTGGTTTTGGTCACCAAAGGGCGAGTAGTTTCCAAACAGATAGTAATATTTAGTTAAAACAGTATAAAAGCCGGGAAAATAACGAAAATCAATAACTGCTCTACAACCTGGACAAAAACATACCTCGAAATTTTCTTATGATCCCTAATGGTATGAATTAATAAGTGCTCCAGTTTAGAAAGTTCATATTGATTCGAAAACCGAATTTGTTAGCAAACATTATTCGCTCTTAAGTGTTTTTATTTTTAGTTCGACCGATGTTTGTTAACAAAGCTGTGCGGTTACTGGCAAGGTGTGTAATATTTAATTAGGGTTCTTACTGTGTTAAAGAACCTATAGAGCATTCCATCGCTATGAGCAAAAGTGGCTCTTTTTGGTACACAATCGCGCCTCTCTTGGAAATACGATTGACCAAAACGTCTTTTTCGCTCCGTGTGATAAACAACTATATTCATCATACTGTAGAAATAACCTTCTAATCGTTACAAAATTAGACCACATAATTTGAGGTTACAAGTCGTCATCAATGTTTACATTTATGTTGCTTAAAAACATAGCTTAATCGTGTGATGGTATCGTAAACCAATGTGCCATTAACAAATCTTAAGGTTAACGAAACGAAAAAATGATCACAATGTTTTTTTTCTGTTCCCTATTTGTAGTTACACGAAAACGATGATTTAGAGAACTAAAAACGGCTATTTGACTATTTGAGAACTCAATTGTGGCTTCACAACCCACAGAGATGAATAGGATTTTTGACTTGGTTGTAAGCTTGAAAATGAACCTTTAAGGTTCGAAACTTTGGTGGCAGACTAAATACGAATCGCCGACATTAAAACAGGTATTTAACCTTTTTATTATTCGTAAAAAAATACTTTTCGAACAAGTGCTTTAACACGAAATAGCTGAAAAACTTGTGCAATTTACTTCAAATCGCCACTAAAACCACCTTCGCCCACTGCGTTTCGCTATGACTATATGCGGCCCTCGGCTTCCCGCGCATTCATTATACATTCCCGCGTTTATCGCAGCGGAATATTTAATTAATCGATTTACCTTCTAGGTCAAGGAGCGCATCTTGTCAGCGGAGCGCTCTACCGGGCCTAGACGATGGAGGAAGTTATTTTACTTCTCAACCACGCCTACGTTGTTGTCCTAGTTTTCAGCACAAATTTCCATTTTTAGAAGTCCACAACCATAAAAAATCTGTGAACGAATTTGGTTCGGTTACAATAAGTGATAATGTAGTTCTAAATATTGTTTTAATTTTTTTCATTTACTTCGTCTCACAATTTACCACATCTACGTTTTTAATAGTTTTAGTTTTCCGAGAAAAATCTTATATATTTATAAGTTTAAACTAATCTTGTGTAAACATTGTGACACAGATCGAATTCGTTATATTTGGTACTTATTACAGTATTTCATAGTATGTTCGCAAGTGGATGTATTTAAACCCTTGGGGAGGTGTACAATGGAGTGTGGCTTTTGTAACTTTGATCAGCTGTTTCATTAGGCAGGTCAATTTATTAATAACCTTGACACAGACTGTCCATGCCGATCAAGGACAGCTGGTCCAGTTTCGAACACAAAAGGTTTCAAACTCCTCTGGAAGCGGTGACCTTTTGATTTTCAGGCGAGCACTAAAACCACTGAGATATATAAAGTTGTAGGCCTAGCTTAGAATGTTTTAAACATGTATTTCATAGCTACAGTATGTATTTATTTCGAAGCTATTTTACCAGTATGTCTCTCGACATGTAGGAAGGAATTACATAGTAAAATAATCAATATAGGTGAATTTGAACATAACAGTATCACATAAGATAAAACTGTAACGTGCTGTATGACTATTTGCTCCCCGTGAATCGTGATTTGGTATTGATGCTTCAAAGTATCACCCTTCTATGTGCAGCTATTTACGTAACGGCAGTAGTGTTGATGTGTTTTGAATGGTAAAAGCATCTTTACATCATTTTAAGAATAGTGCTGTAAATAATCGGGTATTTAATTTTATAAATATTATTAACCATACAGCGAGTAATATTTATAAACTAAAACCAATAAACTAATCAATCGAAAACCAAACAGCTCGAGGCAAACGAATAAATTAAATTTACAATGTTAACTACGAAAGTAATAGTAATTTTTGACTGTTCTTGTTATAGTTGTATTTAAAAATGGAGCTCATAAACTATTTAACTGTTAATAAGGATTCAGCTTTGAACCAATAATGTTAACGTTTACGTAACATATTTTACGTTAAATGTTAATGTTTGCCTTCAAAGTTAAATACTCAGCACCCGGCCAGGGGAGGCTAGTACATCGCCATGGCAACTTGTGTCAAGTTAATCATCAACTTTTGATCCCATTCTCCTGCCCCAGCATACTGGTTTTCAGTTGCATCCGTTTTGCTCGTAAATCGCCAGTTTCAATTAGCACTGATTTTCAACTTTTTTGTGTTAGCTTGGCCTATGTTAAGTCGAAGAATTTAAGTGTTTTCTGGTGGTTTTCAAAGCTCTCTGTCTATAATCGTAAAATTTTATCTCTAACTTGGAACTTTGTTTTTCAGGCGATGCTGATGACATATAACAAACTATGATCAAGGTAAGTTTTCCAAAATATTTATCGATGGAATTCTATTACTTAATATATCCCCCAATATTTTTTAAATATACCTTAGTATAACTTAAGCTAATTTTCATTAGTCTTAATTAATATTCAAACTAATTAAATTGATGTAGTCTCTTGACATGAAATAGTGTTACACCCCCCCTTAACAAATAATTCAACCGCCCTCCCCAAACAGTTCTTAAACTTCTTACTCTAACCCCCAATATTTCTTCATAAAACACTTCTGGTGCATTGGACTAAATAATTATAGACAGGCATAATGTAGCAGGATTGTCGCCCCTAAGTTTCAAACCTCTACAATCTTTAAATATTAATTAACATTATCCTTAAATGTTAACTCCCCCTCACATATATAGAAATCCACCATCATTCAAATTTGACAGAGACTTGAGAAATGCTGAGAGTGCTATCTAGACCACTTCTAGGTGTGCTACAGTCGGTCTTGAAATTTACTCGGCCTCTTTGGTGATTGCCTCTCACTCCTTCCTAAATTTCTAAATGACGACTAACAGCTAGGGGGCCTGGGGGCGGAGCCCCCATCAAGCCAAAGACGAGTTCTATTATAAAATATCCCCAATATTTTTTAAATATACCTTAGTAGAACTTATGCTAATTTTCAATATAGTCTTAATCAATATTCAAACGAATTAAATTGATGTAGTCTCCTGACATGAAATAGTGTTAAGAAAAACCACTTAATCGATTTGTCAGTTTCGGCAAAAACAAGAGAGCGAGTCCACTGATAAAATACATGCGTGTAGCAGTCACATTCCTTAGTACGTAGGTTTGGCAAGTAAAAAGGGAAAATAGTTTTCTGAATTTATGAATCGGTTTGTTCACAACACAAAACAGTTATTGAAAACATATTATTTTCCGATTGTTCCCATTCAACAGAAAATGAAGATGGTAAAAGTTTCATTGATCTTTCAGTCTATTAGAGAAGTTTATTCAAAGTCTAGTTTACTCAAGATGATAGGGTTTGTGATAAGTAAACTATGGTGACGTTTAACTAAATAAATATTGTGACATATAGCTAACTAAATTATGTCGACATAATAACGAAAGGGGATTAGCCTATGGTTCATGGTATTAAACCTCGCTAGTATTTTACCATCAACATTATTTATCGAAGCCCAAGTACTAGTTATTTGTGTAACTAGTGTGCGAAGTGGCACTTTGCACTCGCGTTACACATTATATTTTTCCTGGAGTTACTATAAAGCATATAAATAATTATTATTTCAAACACTATACAACACGTTTTTAGATTAGATTAAATACAAGCGTTGAACGAAATGGGGAAACGTTGCACGACCATGATCGTAGTCAAGTCGTAGTATCAATTGTTGCCAACTTAAAGCGTACACATATTACGTGGCTAATAAAATTACGCTGTTTTGTGTTGTTTGGTTTGAATACTGGAGTGCGGCAAAAAATGAACGCGGCAAAGTAAAACGAGTAAATGGCGTACCGTTGACATCGTTCTGAGATTTTGGTGCCCTAGGAGAACGCACCCTTAATTAGTGTGAGGAAGACCACTTTGTCAGGTAACTGTAGGACAAATATATTCATATAAATTGCCCCCTACAAGATTTTTCCTCCATGCCGATGCGGTTAATCCTAAAGGCTAACAAACCATATTAAACGATTTGAAAAATTACCCTTCAAAACCCATCATATGGTGAGCGAGTTAACGGTGCGCCTCAAATCAAAAGTGGGAGAGTCATCAAAACACAATCAAGGGGCAAAACCAGTAACGGAACCAACGACAACAGTGAACAGTAATGACAGTCATGCTCTTCACTTAAACGATGTTCATCTTGAGCTGTTTGTCAGGTGAATGTATAGTAATTAGGCTGTTTTTAACTCTTAAGTCCCTCAGAAGGACATGTTGTTTGGCTCTAATTGAGCTGGGCATTTTGACAGGTGGACAAGCTTAGGGTATTTATAGAAACTAAGCAGTGGTATTTTATTTACAAAATCACGTTTAAAATACTTTAAACACTTTGTGTATCTTTTTAAAGCTGTTTACGTTCTTGTTATTTCCTTTAAATTACACCGCCAATACATCGACAGCAAAAAAAACTAATTATCTGATTGTTTTTTAAACAATTAAACATTCTGTATGTAAGCTTTACCATTCATAAAACTTAAAAATCTACATTTTGCGTGTAAAGCAAAGATGAAGGAATTCAAAGTGAAATTATTTTGATTGAGTTCATTAATTCTTTTTCGTACTCAGATGTGTACCTATTTTATTTCTGTGGGCTGATAAAGAGTTGATAATGGAACATGGAAGGGGAAATCAGCTTAATATTGTTCAACTTGACTAACTCATGAATTTTGTCGGTTGCACCTAACTTGAGATGTCAAATGATGAACTTGCTTCCATTTACATTAACGTTCTAACTATTGAGAATCCTACTTAAAATTCCATTTACCTAACCCGCCATGTTAAACTTCCCTATCCCAAGCGTGATGTATACAACTTCCTTACTTCTCGAGTGATGTAAAGTATCAAAAACTCACTCGGAGATGTAAAGAAACCCATTTAAATAACATTGAGTGCTTAACTTAAAAAATATAACTCTATGGAGCCAACGACGTTCAACGCTAGAAATCAGCTGTGCGCTTGAATGTTATTGTTATGCTTTATAGTATTTTCCTAACCTAGCTTTTGTTAGTAAAAGAACGTTACTGATAGAAGATGAGTTAAATGGATAATGAAAAATATTGTACGTAAACCCATGTATATTGTCGGGTCAGGTAAAATCTTGTACGTTACACGTTACGCAAGAGCGTGTTTACATCACTTAGGTGAATTATGCAACTCGCTTCCGCTCGTTGCACAACATTCACCTGCGTGAAGTAAAAACGCTCTTACTACACTTGTAATGTAAATAGCTATTTTGTGATTTGTTGAAGACACTGCAGCATGTAAAGGAATAGTCTTTGCGTACTTTCCTCATGCACCGTTTATACAGTCAAATTGAGAAACTCAACATTAATATGTAGCAGGAGTTGTTGATCACCATAACGCAGTGAATCTTTCCAGTCAAGGATAATATTTCACAAGTCCATCTTTTACCCCACAGTTTGTTATTTAAAATCCCATTCCATCCTGTACATTTTTAAAGACGCTCATAGGTCATTTAACAAAAAATGTCCCTTATTGTCGATTTATAAGAATGCACACTTTATTGTAATTTAAATTTGAAGAATCGGTTTGAGCCCGAAAAACCTGTAGGGTTTCAAGGTTCGAATCCGACCCAGCTGTCCTTTCATTCGACTTTCTATGAATGGTTCTGAACAATGAATCAGCCGGTCCCATTTATCCATTGTTCATTTTAGGCCTAGTTGGAATATTGTGTCGAATCTTAGTCTTGGAGTACTGTGTAGATTAACTCAGTCGGATGGGTAAAACAATACTTCTTCGGGGCTAATAATCAAGTTGTCATCAGCGCAGTAGATTGTAGCGTGTCCCCGAGATGGATCGCTACAACGCGTCCGAAACGTCGCACAGTAGTTTGCCATTTCGACAAAATGTTCATCTCCCGAAGATAACACCATCGATGTAGTTTGGTTATATACATCGATGGATAGCATCAAACTTCATACTTTAACACGTTTACACATTACTTTTAACATAACTTCAAACACTATACTTTTACTTCGATGTGTTTTTCCGCCAGAGGCATTTGCACATATCAAAATTGAGTTCTGAACAACAAGATCTCTCAACCTTGAGCTTGTAAATACATTTATCCGCGATTGTCAAAGTCAACTTGATATGAAGTCGATTTCGCAATTAATCACATTTTGACAAAATCTCTATAGTGGCCGTGGTAGGGCGTGTACTTGCCACGTGATACAGTAGTTACGCATGCTGTGTGATGCGAGGCGGGGACAAGTTCAAGGCGACCTGGGCAGCTTGCGACACACACAATCACACATTTACGTAACATACACTCTCACAGAAACACACGCGGTCTTCTGGAAACTTTCACTACTTCAGCCGCAGTATGGCCTTGGGCCTCATACATAGTAATGTAATGGGTATTTCCTGTGAGGTATATAGGTTTGTGGTGCTGTTTGGAGTTTTGGGTTGTGAAAAGTTGTGATGGATTTGTCAGAGGTTGGTTTTCGTAATTTAGAAAGTACAATATTTAACACAGGATTGTGTATTGTGTTTAAGAATTGTGGCGTGCAATTTATTGTGTGGGTTGGTTGTAAAATACAGTACAAACTAGCTAATGAATAGTAGTGTATTTGGGATGTAGGGCATTTTAGTGCTCACCTTACAATCATAAGATCGCCAGTTTGATCCTAAGAAAGGTGAGTAGCTTTTTGATGATTCAATACCTGATCCAGCTGTCCTTAAATCGTTGACATTTTTATCGGGGCCAAAGAACCATTTATCTTGTTTTAGTAAGATCACGGAATAAAGATTTTTAAGATTCAAGAGTACTTAATACATTTGGAAAAATAAATATTAAAAGTTGAACTCAGAACGTGTAATGAAGTGCCAAAAGAGATATATTTTTGGAGCGGTTGTTGCGGGCATTCATGTAATGTATATTCTCGATTTTGCACGCCTCGATAGAACAAAGCTAAACAATGTTAAGCGTCAGCAGTCTTAGTCCAGTCAATAAAGAGATTGTAGAGGACATGGAGGGGGGGAAATTTTTTTTCTGCGGGAATGTGTTCGGGGTAGTTAGAAGATAAAAATACCAAAAGTCCCCGCCCCTGGCCCTGCTGCTTCAGCGGGGGGAGGGGGGGAAAGACCCCATTTTTTAGTTTTTTACTTCTACGCTGAAAACCGTGCATCGTACGGAAAAAATTTAAATTATAAAAAGAAAGATGATGAAATTCTCTACAAGAATGGTAATATCCATTTCTTACGTAATGGCATTAGTTTAGAAGATATTCTCAAAATAATATAAAAATTCTTAAATAAATTGATTTTTCACGCG